ATCGGGAGCTCGAACACATCGGGAGCTCGAAGACATAGCTTCAGTCACGTCTGTATATGCAAAATATCACTTACCCTGCAAATTTTGAAAAATGAAAAAAGAAAAAAGAAATTCACGAAACAATCTCCTTCACGCGGTTTTTTGTAAATGGTAACAAGTTTGCACATCGTTACATGAACTTGGAAGGAGCTACCTACGAAATTATTACTTTCAATGTTCATTACATCACAAATGATTTATTTCTGTCTTATTTTCAAACATGCCAAATGTGTCTGGCACGTAATCACAAACGTGATATATCAGGAAAAGCGAATTAATTTAACTTCACTCACTGATATCGTTCTGTCTACGTTAAAAATATGTATGTATATAAATCTATTCTTCCTATTTCTAGATGCGAATGTCTAAGTCGTGTCGGAAGTTAGATTGATGTCCCCGACGAGTGTCACGTTGACAGCTTATGTAAATATACATGCAAATGTATTCATTTATATAACACTTATGTATATCACTGTCGTGTCCTTTTCTTATTAATTTGTAATATGTATGGCCGGGTCCACAAAAACAAAATCTGTTTCTTGAAACTACTTTGGGAGATCCTGACGGAAAATATGATATTATTAATCCCGAGGAAATTGGTTAGACTAATGGTAAGGAGGTTCACCAACAATTTTCCGAGACAGCTTAGTGATTGTAGCGGGGCGTTAAGAGTGAGGGTTTAGTGGCTCAAAGGATAAACTGTTTCAAAACTAATTATTTTTTGGCATTTTATCTGCTTGAGAGCCATCCCGACTTATTCCACGGTTTACGGAGTTTCCTTTAGTTTGGGGAGGTCGTTGAGAAGAGGAAATACAATTGTGTAGTTCACGGAAGCCCGCTAGGGTATGTCCATATATAATATTGAAATTTCAACAACTAAGTATAAGATCCATGTTGCTATCTTGAAAATTGAAGTTATTATGTTGAAAAAACAAATTATTAAGTGAAGAGAGTATTGTTTTACGCCGCGTTTAGCAATATTCCAGCAATATCACACGTTGTACCCATGTGGGCAATCGAACCCGGGTTTCCAGCGTTACGAGCGAACGCTTTAACCACGAGGCTACCCTACCGTCCCAAGAAGAAAATTATCTTGAAAACTATCTTTCATTATATACATCAGTAAGTTTTCTGAAGTTGAAAAATTGATGTTTTCATTGCACTGAACATAAAACTTGATATTCTACTGCAGTGAACATAACACTTTGACGAACTATTGTCTTAAAAGAGATACCTCCCCGCCAATGATCTCCCTTTTTGTTGTAAGTCTTGGCCGTACACAAACTGTTAAACTTCCTATTTACCTAAGTCCCACATCGATATGGCAAAATAAGGACAGATGGTCATTTATGGAGTTAATTATTCTCTTGAAAAATTTTCGTTATAAACTGTACATTTCACATTTTACTCGTCAAACAAGACTGTTCGTTTCGCAAAGCGCCATTATTTATATTGACCAGCGTGTATTTTTTCGCTCCCAACAGCGGTGTCGTTGATTAAAAGAACTTTTTTGTTGATTGTGTGTAGATATCTAAATGTATGATAAAGAATTTCATTGACATCAAAAATGTTTTGTTACTTTTGCTTATGTTCACGATTTTGCAAACACGGAACTACTTTTTCAGTCGAAGTTACAAGAGGTGGTGAACATCCCTGCGTGTTATGCATTGACATTATTCAATTTTCCGGTAGACAACGACACAAAAAGTATATGATGAATAGGATATCACATGTGTCTCGAGAAATATCCAGTTTCTCTCAACTCGTGACGGTGGAAGGAATATTTTTCCCGTCACGTGAGAGAAACATAATATTTCACTCGACTCATGTATATCCTCTGTATACTATCCCGAAAATTCTCTTTATCAAAACAAAACCCATTATTTTATACTATCTTCGAAATTCAAGATACTATGTTTATGTTCAAGGCTAAAAGATAATGCGGCCCCAATGGGCTTCCGTGGTAGCTTCTTGTGTGTTCTATTCTTTTAATGAGAACCTAATAAAGATAGGGTGATGACAATTCCCAGACTATTATTACATTGCTGTCTGTGGCATAAAACTGCATCCACGCCTTCTGCACGTACTTATGAACCTGCCATGCTTGGTGGGATCGGGTGGTCAGGCTCGCTGACTTGGTTGATGCATGTCATCGTATCCCAATTGCGTGGATCGATGCTCATGTACATCACTGGATTGTCTGATTCAGACTCGATTATTTACAGACCGCCGTCATTTAGCTGGAATTTTGCTGAGTGCGGCATTAAACAACAAACAAACAAAACTTTTGAACCGTTTGACACACTACGCGTAATAAGCGTGAAAAGTGGGCGGTCGCGTGTGGCTTTACATTCTGTTGACATTATTTCAGCAAGAAAAACGTGCAATTTATGGTTTATTGCATATAGCGACGTCTTGAGGTAGATTGTTACACCGTTATCGAGCTGGAGTGACAACCAATTGATGAGAGGTAAATATGCATGACATGTTGTGATAAGCAGCAGATTAACATTGAGAACAACAGTAACAGATAACAAGTTGCATACAGATAATTGGGTGAAGTCAGACAGTAAGAATAACACACGGGGGGGGGGGGGGGGGGGGAATGGGCTTCACCCTTTTTGGGAAATCTTACGCTGGTTTTCGGCGTCTCGAGCGAACGCTTTAACCACTAGGCTACCCGACAGCCCCGAAAGTCAATAATAAATAACACCACAACAATAATCGATGTGTTTATAAACGTCCACAATAGTTTCTGTCTGTGTGGTGATTCAGTCATCCATGGGCAATTGTCGCCGGCGTTGAAGCGTTAAAGCCTCGTGGTTTGTATCACGTGGCGACGATCACATATCCCTATCAGGGCATTGAAGAAAAGCTTCCGTGAAACACATTAAACTTAGCGATACAAAGCATCCTACTGTTTTCCGTAATTGCCGCACCACTTAATCAATGTTATTGCTGGGGTATCGCACATCGATATCGACTAGCCGTCCATTATAATTGACGTCGGTGTTTATAGCTTTCGTCGTCACGCGAGACAATTTACAGTTAAAACACATCTCTATATGAACTGTGCTTAAAGCTGTCAGTTTCGCCCAGATTAACTTCCTGTATATATTTGTGAACATGTTAACTCTACCTCCAACACGTGGGATGACATATCGTGACAAAACTATCTTTCACATGCTTTTACAAAAAAAATTCAATTACACATTTCTTTTTTAACTTAAAAACATGAAATGTGAGAGACAAGACATCATGAGACTTAAACGTTTGTTTGCGGCAAGATGTTTTTCAGTCAATTCTTCAAGAGACAATTCTTCTGTTTAGATTGAAGTTTGTTTGTTGTTTTAACGCCGCACCCAGCAATATGACGGCAGTCTGTAAATAATAGAGTCTGGACCAGACAATCCGGTGATTGACATCATCATGAGCATCGATCTACGTAATTGGGATACGATGACATGCATCAACGAAGTCAGCGAGCCTGACTACCCGATCCCGTCAGTCGCCTCTTACAAGCAAAGTCGCCCTTTACGGCAAGCATGGGTTGCTGAAGACCTAACCCGGATCTTCTCTGGTCTCTTTAGGTTGAAGTCAAACAATGTTGTTTCACTCTGGGCACAATAAGTTTCAGAACAACCAGCAAATCCAGTGAACGATTTTTCAATTAAGAAAAATGAGGACAAATTATATTTTCAAGGGTTTTCGGTAACTGTCATCTCCCGGGGGCAAGGGAGTTAACTTCAAAGCCGAGTTTCAACGTGCCCCGGGAAGATGGGGAACTGGGGGTCTTTTGTTACCCGGATGCAAGTCACAATTATGAATAAATGAGGTGAGGTGAAATGGGGTTTAACGTTGCGTCCAAGATTATTGCACTTATATAGCGACGTGCATGCACGTGTGTGTGTTTGTGTGGCTGCTTGTACTAGTCCGGACTGATGCCGATTTATAGTGCTAGCTCACTGAGATACCATGCCGCAGTTTAACATGAATACCCCACTCAGACACAGTATACTGACTCAGAGCCGACCAGTCCTTGTTTTAGCCCCTTAATGCCGAGCGCCAGACAGGGTAACAACAAGAACCATCTTTTAACGTCTTTTGGTATGACGCGGCTGGGGATCGAACCCCGGACCTTCCGCTCTCCGGGCGGACGCGCTACCACTAGACCACGGAGGCGGTCGAATAAATGAGGATTCTAGGTGGATCCAGTAATAACGCGTCATGCGATGTATCAATTCGTTAAGTATGTTTGTGTGTTTGTTGTTTAATGCCGCCCTCAGCAATATTCCAGCTATATGACGGTGGTCAGTAAATAATCGAGTCTGGACCAGACAATCCGGTGATTGACATCATGAGCACCGATCCACGCAATTGGGATACGATGACATACATCAACCATGTCAGCGAGCCTGACCACCCGATCCCGGTAGTCGCCTTTAAGGGCAAGCATGGGTTTGCTGAAGACCTATTCTACCCCGGATCTTCACGGGCCGCCAGCGAGTGAGGAGGTGGGAACACTCCCTGTAAAGGTAACAGTAGCGTGAACGGATCCTGCCCCACCTTCGGCGCGTCACAGACACATGCAAAACCAAGTCAATTGCTCATCCGAAAAAACACGGGAACATGTAAACCACCCGCCCACATGGGCATCGGCTAACTGCATGGATGAAAAAACACCGATGGTTTTAAGTGACCGAAAGAGTATGGTTTGACGCCGCTTTTAGCAATATTCCAGCAATATCACGGACAACAGAAATGGGCGTTTTAATTAAGCTTAGTTAAACGGCGAAAATAACGTCCTAAAACGAGAAACGCCCCTTTTCTCACTGTTTGTGTGCAACGCATGTTAATCCAGCTCAGTTTTCTACCATGAGTGACAGGCCCACAACACGCCAAGCCTTGTTGAACTGGGCGGGAGTCACCGTATGATGATGACAAACCACAAACAGTCTCAATTAACAATAGAGATGTTTATTGAACGTAGAATAGTTTCTTATTTAGTTTACAAAACGTTGTTCAGTTTTGACAACAAACAACACAGCTAGCTACCATGTCGTGTATGCGTCAAATGGCGGACATACAAAAAGTTTTTGGTCAATAATAAAAGGAATATCTGCCAGGGAAACACTTAGTGATACAACAAAAATAAACAATTTTGCAACATATTTCAAACCATCAAAATTCCATTGTAGTTAAAGTGGATTGGGTATTGAAAGATTACAAACGAAAATAATTTTGTCCGTAGCACAATCTTGACTCTACAGGGTCGCAACCTCCTGTTAACAGTTGTACAGGAAGTAGTATAGGAAGAATATATTCACCCCTCTTCCCATATAACAAACAAATAGCGCGGAAAACAAAACAGTCATAAGTTATGCAATGAAAAAAACCTTTTTAAATGAATTGTAAATAACATATCAAAATTCAATGAAATCTGAAGCCACGCATCTTGGTCAACGTCTCATGGAAACACGTGGACATATACCATTTCATTTGCTATGAGTGTAGGAATAGTAATTATGTTTATTGATTACGTTTTCAACGTTGAGGTGTCTGATGTTCAGCGGATGGACTTGGTGAGCTGGAGCGGCGAGTCGTGATCGGAGGAAGAACTCTTTGGTGTGGGCGACGGGAAGCACCTCCATAAACAGAGATTCTCGTCTGCTCCCAGGGATGCTGAAACCAAGGACACATGAATTGCCGAGTGAGTGAGTGGTGAGGTGAAATGGGGTTTAACGTCGCGTCCAAGATTATTGCACTTATATAGCGACGTGCATGTAAGTGTGCGTGTTTGTGTAGCTGCTTGTACTAGTCCGGACTGATGCCGATTTATAGTGCTAGCTCACTGAGATACCATGCCGCAGTTTAACATGAATACCCCACTCAGACACAGTATACCGACTCCGAGCCGACCAGTCCTTGTTTTAGCCTTAATGCCGAGCGCCAGACAGGGTAACAACAAGTACCATCTTTTAACGTCTTTTGGTATGACGCGGCCGGGGATCGAACCCCGGACCTTCCGCTCTCCTAGCGGACGCTCTACCAATAGACCACGGAGGCGGTCCGAGTGAGTGGAGTGAGTGAGTGAGTGAGCGAGCGAGGGAGGTTTTCCAGACCTATTGCGACGGGAGACTCAAAGAAACAGCTTCACATATTGTACCCATGTGAGGCCTCGAACTTCGGTCGACATCGCCACGAGCAGAGGTTTTTTTTTACAAAATATTACCAGTCAACTGCTACTTTCTGTTTGAAAGTGAGCCGCCATTGTCCTGGTGCGTTGTACAAGCTCCAGTGCTGCAATATCTACACGCACCAACAATAAGCTCCATACATCAGAGCTTACGGCTGTATCAAAATGGATACAAATCTCAACACCGGGGCGGACATATGACACGGATGCCATCATAACAGAGCAATGATGACACAATGATCTCATACTTCATTTGATAAACTCTTTAATAAGTCTTTATGTTCTACGGGGGTTAAATTAGTATTTTTGGAAATATTTGTATTTAATTCCAGCGCAATAGATAGTTCCAATATGGCGAGTCTCAATCTACTGACATTTTCGGCCACTTTCCTCATTCAGTTTCATTTTGACAATCACATCCAGATTTCCGTTATAATGGTCAATAATTTGAGGAGATAATGTTTCTGAGCATGGTTTCTGACCAACAGGGTAATGAAACTAATGATCATTTAAAGAGAAAGTTCTACAACCTGTTTTATCCGCCTTCTGTTCCACAAGGTTTTATAGGTAATCTGTCACGCAGTAGTGTATGTTCCGTACGTGTGGTAAGCGCGTTGATGTAAGGTACATGTTCTGTACGTGTGGTAGGCGCGTTGACGTAAGGTATATGTTCTGTACGTGTGGTAGGCGCGTTGATGTAAGGTATATGTTCCGTACGTGTGGTAGGCACGTTGATGAAAGGTATATGTTCTGTACGTGTGGTAGGCGCGTTGTTGTAAGGTATATGTTCTGTACGTGTGGTAGGCACGTTGATGAAAGGTATATGTTCTGTACGTGTGGTAGGCGCGTTGTTGTAAGATGTGTTCTGTACGTGTGGTAGGCACGTTGATGTAAGGTATATGTTCTGTACGTGTGGTAGGCGCGTTGATGTAAGGTATATGTTCTGTACGTGTGGTAGGCGCGTTGATGTAAGGTATATGTTCTGTACGTGTGGTAGGCATGTTGATGTAAGATATGTTCACAGTGTTGTTAGGTTGCCGTAATGCTGTACAGCTTATAAATGATGCAACACAAAAGTAACAACAAACAGTGTCCACCGACTCCAGGAAGGGCATTAACAGGTCGCAGTCCCAAATGGGGCATACAGCAATTGACTTGTTTCCTCTTAATCGAGTATATCGATTCAACAGGAGTACCTCCGATATAGAAGCTTACCTTAAATGGACGTCTCAGAACACCAAAGCAGGATTTAAACAATACTTGAATACTGTGAACTCGCTTGTGATTGTCTTTGCACGACGTTCTAACCACCAAGTGTTCAATATGAAGCAGTCAAAATTCCCATTTACCTAGGACTTGTCAAGCATTAATTATCAGCTTGAATTATTGAGAGAATAATTCAAATAAATTTTACTGTTTTTCAGATGAAAAGTTTAATATCTTTAACATTTTCAAAAATAATTATTTGATTATCTCATGTTTATGCGTTAGTGCATACAGGCATCAACCGACCCGTGAAGATCCGGGATAGAATAGGTCGTAAGCAACCCATGCTTGCTGTAAAAAGCGACTATGCTTATAAGAGGCGACTACACATCTGCGATTTACACATCTGCACACACAGACGAAGACACGATGTTGTTTCTCTTTACTAAATCAAAGTCACAGAGATAAAAGAATCGGACAATGGAAATAATTTGCTCAGGTTGCCCTTCGGGAAGGATTTTCACACACAAAATATCCCTGTTGGGAATAGTTGGTTGGCTGGTTGGTTGTTTTTGGACCAGACAATCCAGTGACTGACATCATGAGCATCGATCCACGCAATTGGATCGATGACATGCATCAACCAAGTCAGCGAGCCTGACCACCCGATCCCGTTAGTCGCCTTTTACGATAAGCATAGTCGCTTTTTACGATAAGCATGGGTTGCTGAAGACCTATTCTACCCCGGAATCTTCACGGGTGTTGGGAATAGACAAGCGATCAATTTAATCACTGTTTTCCAATCGGCCCTTTTAAAAGACAACCACATTGTGATACTTGTAGGAAAATATGTTAGTCTTTGCCAAAGGGCGTGTTTTAATAACGGCATTTGAAATATACTAGGTTTGTCACATTAAGGTGTTTTCTGCATTTCCTTTCGAAAATCTTAGGACCATTTTCTGATTATTTCAAAGAATGAAAGTACACCTGCAGGCTTAATGGTATAGGCCTGATGGACCTTCCCACATATTTGAAGTGCGATCGTAAAAGTGCTTTATAAGTATCTACTAATGCTTCTTTCACACAACTGTTAATAAACAAACTATTGATGGGTTTCACGAGAGAAATATCTTAACAGGGTACATATAATGTGTCTAAAGTGATTGAAATATGTAAATTTACAAATTCAACCAACCCTTTTAAAAAATGATAAATCTTCTAAATATAAATTGTCAATGCAAGAGAAGAATCATCCCAGATGTTCTGCCGTAACAGATTTCACTTGGCGTAAAGGGCAAATAGCTGTGGAAAGTATATGAATGGATCACTGAAAATCAGTGATGACACCAGGTGTTCGCAAAAAGGGTAAGCATGTCCTGCCCTACCGGTAGAACCCGCAACGTGCAGTGAATGATTGAATGTGACAATGAACTGGCCACATGAATCATTTTTTACAACATTCCAGATGCATGTCATCGATCCCATTTTCGTGCATCGAAGCTCATGATATTAATCACTGGATTGTCTGGTCCAGACTCGATTATTAACAGACCGCCGTCATATAGCTGGAATATTGCGTTGTGGCGTTTAACAGCAAACAAACCAACCACAACATTCCCGATAACCTACTTGACAATGATAACATTACTTTATCGTTGAATAAAACATAACACACTAGTTTCCCTTGTTTATTTCTGGTGTTGTAAGACGATATAGATCTAATACGAGTACAGTCAATAAATATGTCTATAATATACATTTGTATATGCCATTTACTGCTGTAGGAAAGGAATTAAGAAATATTTATCCGTCAAAACGAACTTGTCTAATGCAGATGAGGCGGGCGTGTGTAGACAGGGCGTGTATGCGAGCCTTCATGGGTATCCAAAGCATATGTTGAAACCTATCGATCGCCACCAGCCAGCCATTACTTACAAAGCGCGGGGGATTTTATCATTTCCGGTTCATCTCACTTCCGGTCGTAGGTGAAAATCTTTGTTGTAACGACTCGCAATCAGGAGAATGTTTAACGTTCGTGATCAATTAACACGCCATTTTAAACACATACCATACGTGTCTGGTAGCACCTGCAAACGGTGTTGACAAACCTTGGACCGGCCAACCTCATCATTTTCCTGCTGTTTACAACCCAAGTGATTTTTCTTCAAAGCTTGGGACAAAAAGGTCAAAGCCATTTCATTGTGTTTACAGTAGGAAAGAACACGAGGATCCCAGTCCGAACTAGGTATTAGTTATCAAAAGAGTCTTACATCATGTTTGTCCAACATACGGTCATGTTTGCGCATGTATTTGCGTTTAGATATGGCCATCACTGCATGACTCAGCACATGATACAAGAGGCAGGTTCAGACGCTCCTGATATTTGCTCTTATCTTGTAAGGAAGGCCTGCACTGACGAGTGACCGACAAGTATATATATAACGGTTATTGATGATCGATTTCATGCTGCATTTAGCATAAGGCCAGCCATATCATAACCTGCACCAATGTGGAGAATCGAACAGGGTATCTTCGCTGTGACGAGCCAACGCTTTGACAACCAGACTGCCCAAACCGCTCATCTCTTTTTTTGTTGTTTCACTCTCACACTTTTGTTGTCATTTATAACTGAATAATAGATTTCTTACTCACATTTCGGCATGTCTATTCATCTAGTCGATTTCTATCCTTAAATGAGTGTGATTTGTGCGACAAATTTACTTACTTTTGTTTATCAACTATCGGTTTCATTTTCCACCCCATCAGAAAGTGATTGACAGTGATATGTTAATCTTTGCTGATCAAGTAAAAGCGTACTTCACTGAAGCGGATGTCGGTTGGAGTGTGTGTGTCTGTGTTGGGGGGGGGTGTGTGGAGCCAATCACACGGTCGTTGTTTGTGCGATGTGTGTTGGATAAAAGTGCTCGTCATTGCTTGGGATTTATCGTTCGGAAAAGCACTTTTGATGACCATGCGTGATTAATGCTAATGCTTTGGAAAACAGTATCTGTAATCAAAGCGTTCGTCAGTAGTCCACACTGTCCGTCAACTGCAACAGATCACACCGTCGGTCGATTTCATTAGTCAACAAACGCCATGATTTGCCATGACAGTAAGCGCATGCAGCCCGGGTTGCGGACTGCCCCGAGGAGGGATGACAGGGCCTGGCTCTCGTCATGTTTGTAGACATACGTGCGGGTTGATGAGTACCGAGTTATATTTCGCCCACTTGAGCAGTACTTCAGCTAGCTCCGTATAAGGCGACCATGATTGTCGTAAGAGGCGACGAACGGGATCGGGTGGTCAGGCTCGCTGACTTGGTTGATGCATGGGATGTTTCCCAATTGCGTGGATCGATGCTCATCATGACAATCACTGGATTGTCTGGTCCAGACTCGATGACCTACTGACCGCTGTCATATAGCTGGAATATTGCTGAGTGCGGCGTTAAACAACAAACAAACAAAAGGAACTTCAGATTGATAGCTATGTATCTCAGCATCTTAATATGCGAAGGAAGTTGGTCTTACACGATTACCACTTTGAAACGCGCTAAGCTATGGTGTCTTACAGACTAAATAATAGTATGGGGGCTTATTCAAACCCATGATAGGAGAATTCTAGTTGCTTTTCCAAGCAAATACAGTAAGTTGCAAAGTAAATATTATTGTTCATCTTCCCGAGACAAGGGTGAGGTGGTGAAATTGGGATTAACGTTGCGTCCAAGATCACGCGTGTGTGCGTGCGTGCGTGTGTGCGTGCGTGTGTGCGCTTGTACTTACTAGTCCGGACTGAATCCCATTTTAAAGTGCTAGCTCACTGAGATACCATGCCGCAGTTTAACATGAATACCCCACTTGGACACAGTATACCGACTCCGAGCCAACCAGTCCTTGTTTTAGCCCCTTAATGCCGAGCGCCAGACAGGGTAACAACAAGTACCATCTTTTAACGTCTTTTGGTATGACGCGATCGTGGAATCAAACCCCGGACCTTCCGCTCTCCGGACGGACGCTCAATAGAAGTGACATCAGAGGTGGAATCTGATTGGTCAGTAGGAGGGACATAACTTGTAATAGCCACTGGTGGCGCTACGACCGAATTTAGAAATTCCGGCCTAGTTCATCAAGGGTGGAAACTGGACTTTTACAATCCGTTAACTCCCTTGCCTCGGGAAGATGAATAGTGTTAATATCAAAATAATAACAAACCAGAGGTTATCTGGTTATAAAGTCACAAGCTGAACTCACCTAGAGTTGTCCCGTCGGGGCTGATTGCCAGATGCAGCGGTCGTCTGCTGTGCTGCTGCAGTCGTGTCGTCTGCTCCAGTTTCATCAGACGTGTCCGCCAGAGGTGGATGTTGTTCTTGTCGGCATTCGGCACGCCGTGACTGGACACCAGCTCGTGACACACAGACGACCACATGAGGCTGCACACCTGCGCACGAAAACTGAATACAACCACGTGCTATGGCTGGCCATTGAAATTGAATAAGTTCTCACAGTTTGACATTTCACGTCGCAAAAAATCGGATAAAAATTTGAAAATCGGGGGGGGGGGTGTCACTAGAACCAGGAACTGAACTTTTGACGCAAAAAGAGTGAAAACACATATTTCATCAAATTCAGATAAAACTGTAGGCGTCGGTGACAGGCTCACCTGAGATTTCGTATCCACTTCCGTCAGTTTTTCTCCGGTATGCACGTGCCACAGGCGGATGTGGCCATCATTTGAACCGCCCCCGCTCGCTATCACACTTGGTCGCCATGGACACCACGCAAGTGCCTGTCAACAGAAAGTATGACATCAAGGACCGGTTTCTTCATGTTTCATTACCGCAATGTAGGCTAATGAAGTACTCAAGTTAAATGGCTAAGTTAGGAGGAAAGATCTAAAGGTTGAATTGGCAGCCATTGTTTCAATCGTACAGTGGCTATCAGTAATGGTCCAAACTCGCCATTTAAACTTCCTATGCCCGCCATCTTTGTTGGAAACTACTTCCGGTTACCAACACAATGGCGGTTTCCAAACAGATCACCATGCACTTTAACACTTTATTTTGATCTGTCGGAGCGAGATACCGAGTCCCTTTCCTTTTAACGGATATTGTATTTAGGGTTAAGTCAGTTAAACAAGTCTGTTTATAGTTACAGATTAAGCCTAATACCTGAAGGTACTCAATACTTGAATTTAACGGAGATGAAACATGTTAAACACAGTAATAAACGCCCAAGTTGAACACGGTACTCCTCAAAGTTTTGTACTGATACTCCCCTCCTTTGTCCTGAACGCAGAGGGTAAGGATTCGTTTAACATCATTAGGGACCGACCATTTGATATTCGGGAAGATTATTGAAAAAAGATAATTATTCTCCAGACTGCAGAAAAAGAAACAAATTGCCTGCCATTGTTGCAAGGTGGTTTTCTTTAAATGAAATTCAAACTCCTAAATCTAAAATATCTGGGTTTATAGCTGAAGCTGAAAAAATATTCTAATCTTGATATGTAAATCAATTCCTATTATTTCCGCGTAAATAAAACCGCTCTCCTGACGGACGCTCTCCCAATAGACCATTGGGAGTGTTGATAGTTCTGGTATATTAAATACAGGGATATGATTAGGACATAATCCTGCTGTGTTTTGAAATTTGATGTAAGCCCACTGTAGACAAGACACCACTTAATTTAATATGGCGTATTATGGGCGTTAAATCTGGCTGTAGGGTCAGAAAATTACATTGACCATCACACTTATTTCTCTTGTGTACGGTGGCCCATAAGGGACATGGGGTCTGTTTTTTCAATATTTTGATATATCACTTACTTTTATGGTAACCTTTTGCAAATTAACACAATTTGTCATACAAATATGTGATAAATCATGCATAAAAACAACCGAAAACATGGAAAATGTACTTTCAAGTAGCTATAGAATCGCTGAAATGTGAAGCGAAAATGTCAAAAACTAAAATGGAAAAGTCCATGTCCCTTATGGGCAACCGTACATGTGGCAGTTAAAAGTCTTGATTGAAGAATAAGAATGCTTATTCACGTTATGTTGGACCTGGTGTCAATATGCCAACGTTAAATTCATTAAATGTTCCATCTACGTCATCCACTGTCACTGCTCTGTCTGAGCACTTACCCCCTTAAGGTCAGATGAGAAACATGATTGCTGATTGGTATACTCATGACGCCAACAATACACAGCGACTGGGCCACCCGTGCCCCCCTAGAGGCGAAGTGACATGGATTGACATCATGAGCTTCGATCCACGCAATTGGGATCGATGAAATGCATAAAAAAAGTCAGCGAGCCCGACACCCGATCCCGTTAGTCGCCTCTTACGACAAGCATGGGTTACTGACGACATATTTTACCCCTATTCTTCACGGGTATTATTAGCTTGAGTATTTTTTCATCATTGGCGAGACATTCTTGTAGATGTGCCCAAATAACAGGTTGGACACGACGGTATGAACCGTATTCAGGAATTATTTTTTGGAAATGTGATAGGTATGAATCCTACGAAGTATGCTCATTTCGCTCATACATTAAACGGTTTTGTGTGATAATTGTTTAACACCGCACTCAGCAATATTTCAGCTATATGACGATGATTGTAAATAATAATCGAGTGCTTGCCAGAAAATTAAGTGATTGATATTGTGAGCAACGATCGACGACATCGGGGTACGAAGCCCGCCGAGCCTGACCCCAGATCCATCTGGTCACCTCTTACGACAAGCGTGTGCGTGCAAGCGTGTGCGTGCAAGCGTGTGCGCATGTGAAGCAACACTCCGTTATTTAAATAACAAGCTGTTTCCAGAAGGTCGCCAGGACGTGGCCTTGTCGCATATCATGTTTCAGTACCGAGTCGTGATTGAAGAAAAATGAGTGAGTGAGTATGGTTTTACGCCGCTTTTAGCAATATTCCAGCAATATCACGGCGGGGGACACCGGAAATGGGCTTCACACATTGTACACATGTCGGGAATCGAACCCGGGTCTTCGGCGTGACGAGCGAACGCTTTAACCACTAGGCTGAAGAAAAATGAAATCTTATTTGGGCATATAATGTGGGTTAAATTACACGGACGGTCACACTTATTTCCCCTCTTGTGGCAGATAAAAGTCGCGATTGAAGAATAAGAAATTGTATTTAACGTTATGATTGACAAGTTGTCAGTATGCGAACGCTACATTCATCAAATGTCCAGTATAAGTAATCCACTGTCACTACTTTGTCTGAGCGCTTACCTCCCCTAGGACGGAGCAGGAAGGAGAGGATAAGGTTGTCAAAAAAATATTGCCATGGAAAATATGTCACCACATAATCAATTTTGTTTTCTGTATTTAATGTGAGTAGGTCACATCATAACTATGCGATTGAACAAATTTGCCATTTTATATGGAAATATATTGTAAGTTAGGTCTGCATGCACGCACACGGTGAAGTTCTATAGATAGACAGGCCATCTGCCCGAGCCAATGGAGTTAACTGACTACAAAAGTCCAGTTCAAACCCTTGCCGAACTAGGCTGGAATTTCCATGCTCGGCCGAAGCGCCACCAGTGACTTATTACGGGTTCTGTCCCCTCTATGTCCCTCCTATTGACAAATCAGATTCCACCAATCATGTCACTTGCATATGCTTCAAAACAAAATGGCGCTGCCCAGCCAAAACGATCTAATCGATAATCAGGACCTATGTTGTAATAAGACGATCTGACCGATAATCAGGACCTATGTTGTAATAAAACGATCTGATCGATAATCAGGACCTATATTATAATAAGACGATCTGATCGATAATCAGGACCTATGTTGTAATAAGACGGGTCTTACGCCGAATCAAATCACTTGAACACCTTGATTAAAAACATGAAAAGATTTGTAAAATATCTGTATATATGCTTTGGAAATCCTGCCCTGGACCGAAATCTGCACGTTGAAATCTATTTTGGTTTGGTTTGGTTTGTTGTTTAACGCCGTACTCAGCAATATTCCAGCTATATGACCGCGGTCTGTAAATAATCGAGTCTGGACTGAAACCTATTTAGTGCGGTTTCAAAATGTAACTCCGGCATACCAGCCTTGTGGAGACAGCCAAGGGTGGAAACTGGACTTTTGTAGTCAGTTGACGCCCTTGCCTCGGGAATATGTAGACAGACCAGTCGACAATAAAAGTTGGTCAAAGTTCACGTCAGTTACGGCAAGGCCTAAGTTCGTTTCATAACTCATACAAATCCGTTTATCTGCCATAACACACGCACAGTGCCTCATTGAGGGTAACCATGTGGGCTGCATGGAATGTGTGTTCATCGGAATCGATTTGTCCCGAAAACATATTTATAGCCCTATCCTGATTAGGAAGTTATTCCTATATTTAGCTACTTAAGTAGATGACAAACAACCCCAGAGGAAAATCCGAACAAATATTTTTCTTTTGTCATACGTCAGAAAGCTTAAATGGAACTGCACAAAGACGTGAGATGATAGTGAGTGAGTATGGTTTTACGCCGCTTTTAGCACTATTCCAGCAATATCACGTCGGGAGTGAGATGAGATACCATTTCGCAGTTTATAATGGCCACCCTACTCAGACACAGCATACTGCCTCCGAGTTGACCGATCCTTGTTTTATTCCCAGAATACCCAGCGCCAGGCAGGGTAGCAACAAGTAACCTCACTTAACGTCTTTGGGTGATGACCCACCTTCCGCTTTCCGGGAAGAATCTGTCCAGGGAGGCGGTTCCAAAGGATTCTGTGCCTCTAGTTTTGTGGGTGACTAACCTTTGCGCAGGCCTTGTGCGACTCAATCCGTCTGTAGACGCAGTTGTTGCGCATGCTCCAAATGTTTACAATCCCATCATCCCCTCCGCTTGCCAGGAATTCTTCATCCGGGGACAACTTCAGATTCGTGACGTCACGCTTATGACCACTCAAACTGCTGCACACCACGGGGTCACGTGGGTCGTAGATTGAAATTCTACCCTTGCGCGATCCACTGAAAATGAATTGAAAAAATATGTAGTAATGTTATTCTCATTCAGTTTTTCATCTACAGACCTCAGTCGTCTCTTACGACGTACATCAGAAGAATTAAACTTCAATAGACACGATATATTAGTTAAGTTTGCCATCGTTGTATCTTCACACATAAGAACAATATTTGATGTCACAACATTTTTTTACATTGCTTTGTAGAGGTTAAAATGTATTTGTTTGCAGATGGTGACAAGAATAACACACAGTATTGTCCCAGGGCGAGAAAGCAATATTGAGCTATAAATAATCAACTGGGTCAAGAAGGAATGAGCAAAACCCCATGTAGGCAGTATACGATGACACACATGCCCACTATTATCACACCCTTGACGGCTCATTTGGCAAACAGGCTACTGTGGATCACGGGGTACTGTGGATCATGGGTTCCGTAGAGTATGGGGTACTGTGGATCATGGGTTCCGTAGAGTATGGGGTACTGTGGATCACGGGGTACTGTGGATCATGGGTTCCGTAGAGTATGGGGTACTGTGGATCACGGGGTACTGTGGATCACGGGGTACTGTGTATCAAGGGGTGCTGTGTATCATTGGGTACTGTGGATCATGGGGTACTGTGGATCATGGGGTACTGTGGATCATGGGGTACTGTGGATCATGGGATACTGTGGATCATGGGTTACTCTTGATCACGGGTTACTCTTGATCACGGGGTACTGTGGAGTAGGGGGTACTGTGGATCATGAGGTACTGTGGATCACAGGGTATTGTGGAACATGGGGTACTGTGGATCATGGGGTACTGTGGATCACGGGGTACTGTGGACAATGGGGGACTGTGGATCACAGGGTACTGTGGATCATGGGGTACTGTGGATCACGGGGTACTGTGGATCATGGGGTACTGTGGATCACGGGGTACAGTGGATCATGGGGTACTGTGGATCTCGGGGTACTGTGGATCACAGGGTGCTGTGGATCATGGGGATGCATTTTATTCTCACCTTATCAGCTTATCTCTGGACCAGGACAGACTTCCCACGTGGCAGTGGTCACGTGTTCGGAAATTCTTGACAACTTTCATACTTGTAGCATCCCATAGCTACAAGACGAAGGGGGAAGCTAGTCAGAGCTAGTGGTAGGGAGCCCAGGGTTTTTTTTGGGTGATCCAAGGCCCAATGTAACAAGGTAAAATCAGACATGTATACGTGTGTATATGTATATATAAAATGACAATTCATTTCTAAAAACTGTTATTTGATTATCTGATACATATGCGCATGATACTTGATTTGAATCGATACTTGAATTGAAACGAACTGCATCATGACTAAGTCTTCCATTAAATAGATCTTGATTACCCAATTTAGGGGAAATCCAGCATATACAAAATCTAATAAGAACAAATGATTCATTATAACAGTGACAACATTATCAGGAATGTTTCGCCTCTTACTACAAGCATGGTTGCTGAACATCAATTCAAACGCAGATCTTCACGGGTTAGAATTGGTGGAATGATCTCTCAAAGATATGAAAAGTGGCAGCTTGGTTTCAATTTATTTCACAAAACATTTCAACAATCATGCCGTTTATCGTGATGCCATGGCCATTATAGAATATACGCAGGCTGAAACGGCTCAGACAAAACGTTATGTGGCAGCAAATGAGTGAAGCGTTAGTAAAATGTTGAGTGCGGTCGGTGACAGGAAGTCATCAGAGTTACCTCCCCTGGTTTAAAAAGACGAGTCTTGAACTTTTGAGAACTTTCGGATTGGGGCAGTTCTAACAGGATAACGATTCTAGTCCTTTTCGACCCGAGCTGTAAGTTATCTACTTGCGAATTGGAAACATTCGTCACCACTTGCGCCTTTCCGTAACCTGCAAGAAGACTCGCCCCCGTCTCGATGAATGTTATGTGCGAAAATACGACAAACCAATCAGAATGCGCGTATGATTTCAAGTTCTTCGTCAAGGAATCCCTCAGAAATAATTTTTTTGCATCTAAAAATATACCCAAGACACAGTTAAATGTGTTCAATCATACTGTATAATTTCGCATGTCCCGATGTGCTTTAAATTGCATCGGAAATATATATATAATATATGGGGAAATATATCTGAACCATTACGCAACGAGTTGATAGTTGTTTTAGGTATGCCCGTTTGCGCCAAGACGGAACTCGGTCGCAAAATTGGCCATGAGAGGGGCACGAGTCGCTATTCGGCTTGTCCCGGAAAAACACGAGTTGTTCACAAATGGATTGGACAGTTACCTGTAAACACCGAATTCATGCCAACTTCCAACATTATTCCAGATAATCAATAACATATATTTTAATTATATTCCATTGATAAATTCGGCGAGTGTACTTATTGCTGCTAACAAGTATTTGACCCCTTGTATTGCCTGTTTATATGGTAAACATATTGTGTTGCAATATCATGTATTAATCATTCACTGATCTTGTGTGATGATTAACTTACAATTTAGTTCTGTACGTGACGATTTCAGGGTTAACCTTTGCGTTTCAATCTGGAAAGCATCTCGTAACACTAGACGCAAATTAAACTGATCATATAAATGTCTTGATAACAGAAAGTTAACTATAATTAGGGCATGGAGTACATGTCGTGACAGAGTCGAAGATCTGTTCATTGTCTGGACAACAAATCAGTCAGTCATCAAAGGTAGCTGTGTTCACGATGTGCATTGTGATACAAATGAATGCCACACTGCCGTCGTATATGAGAGGGAATGAAAATGACCCCACATTTCACACAAGGTTGTATAAAGAAAGGTAGGCAGGATTATTATTTGTTACAAGATGTTAAATAGGAGCACGTGTTTCTTTAGCCTCTGAGAATAGGTAGAAAACGTTTCTTTTTTAAACAATTAAACAAAATAACATTTTATATACAGCGAAACAATATTCAGAGTGTATATCATCAATGTGGCATATGTGTGTGTGAGTAAAGGTTGCATCGGCATTGTTCCGACAGTAAAGCGACCTTGGCTCGAAGACAATGGTAACTCCCCTACCACAACATTGTCTTCAGGACAGTCGTCGCGCCAAGATCGCACTGTGGAATGCGATAGATGGATGAAAGCGGTCTGAAACATTGAGCCTGGACCAGATAAACCATTGACAGTGATAACCCCAACTCATGGTAGCATGAGTAACGACCCGTGAGGGTAAAATGACATAGTGGAGTTGTGTTTAACGCCGCTTTTAACATTATTCCAGTTATATCACGGCGTGTCAGCTCAGTGTGGGAGGAAAGCCCGAAGTGATGCAGGTCTCAGACGTTTGCAACTCTGCACAGCGAATTGCGGCGCTTTAGACGACTGGGCCACCAAAGTCTGGACAAAACAACCAAGTAATGGATATTGTGAGCAGCGATCCGCAATGTCGGGTACGTACTCAAACATGTCATGGACCATGGCCACCCGATCACGGACCATGGCCACCAGATCACAGACGGGAACTATCGACAACGACTACACTACGAACTAATAATTAATTTAAAGGGTCCTGTAAAGTTATGGAATGGTGTAGTGTAAACATGGTAAAATTTGATAATTACTTTCATTACAGATCCTACATATTTCCTGTCAATAATCTGATACAGCGAGTAGTATTGTGTTTGTTTGTTGTTTAACGCCGCACTCAGCAATATTACAGCTATATGACGGCGGTCTGTTAATAATCCAGACTGGACCAAACAGTCCAGTGATTGACATCATGAGCATCGATCCACGTAATGGGGATGCGATGACATGCATCAACCAAGTCAGCGAGCCTGACCACCCGTTCCCGTTAGGCACCTCTTAAGACAAGCCTAGTCGCCTTTCACGGCAAGCATGGGTTGCTGGAGGCCTAGTATAATCCGGATCTTCACGGGGCTAATATTATTGTGCGTCACCCGGATGCAATATATTTCCTTTTTGCGTCCAATCAATACACGTGTGCGTACTGGGCGCACATATCTGCGTCACGTACAACCCTGCTGAGGGCGTGTGTACTCACCAGAATGTCCCCCTGACACGTCCCTATGGCCAGCGTCTCCCCCACCTTGCTCCAGGCCACGGAGGACACGTAGAAGTCGTCTAGCTCGGGCAGATGTAGGCGAAGTCGCTTGCACTCCTCGTTCTTGACGTTCCACACGTAGGTGTTGGCTCCCAGCGCTACAGCGATGCAGCCGTTGGGGCCCCAGTCTAATACGTTACAATCTAACCGTGAAATTAAAATCTGTATTAAACTTGCATTCCAATAAAGCAGTTCATTGATGTATACTTTTACGATACAGCTCACGTGCAGTCTAAACTCATTTGTGTGTTGGTCTCAAAGGCAAGCCGTAATGGAAAAACAACGGAATTGGAATTACTGGATACAGGTTACATTCATCTTCCCGAAGCAAGAGAGTTAACTGACTTGAAAAGTCCTGTTTCCACCCTTGCCGAACTAGGCTGGAATTTCCAGGCTTGATTGAAGCGCCACCAGTGGTTATTACGAGTTATGTCCCTTCTGAGCCTCTCCTATGGACCAATCAGATTCCACCTCTCGTATAACTTGCATTTGTTTCAAACAAAATGGCGGCGCCATGTCAAGACGATCTGATCGATAATCATGATCTATATTGCGATAAAGCGGGTCTAACATCGCGAAGTGCATCAAACACGTGAGCACCTTGATTAAAAACATGAAAATATCTGACAACGAGTTGGCGGTGCACATGCTTTACAAATCCTGCAATCGACCGAAATCTGCACGACAGTTTAAGAACCGGAATTCGATTTAGTTGCGCGATTTTGATTGGTCTATGCATAGACTCTTTGGTCCAGCCAAAATGTAACTTAATAATAACCAGTCTAGTTCGGCAAGGGTGGAAACTGGACTTTTGTCGTCAGTTAACTCTCTTGCCTCGGGGTGATGGGTTACATTAAACCCCCAAAAGCTAAACTTACAAAAATCATCTCTGAGGCCAGGCATGTCTAACACTCTGTCCGGGGCCGTGGCCACGTGACGCTTGACCGCCCGGGGGGCAGGGGAGCTGAACACCTCGTCTCCCAGGTCCATCATCCAGGGGGCAGAGGACCCTATTGCAAAATAAATAATTTGAAATCCTTACCTTCGCCTTTTTAGTAATTCTATCACAATTGAGTTCTTTTACGACGATAATAACAGTACTGGTGGGGTAAACAAATAGTTTGATGAATACCAGCAACCCATGCTTGACGTAAAATACAAACTACTTGTCGTAAGAGCCGACTGACGGGATCGGGTGGTCAGGCTCGCTTACGTGGTTGATGCATGTCATCGTATCCCAATTGCGTAGATCGATGTTCATATTGTCAATCACTGGATTATCTGGTCCAGACTCGATTATTTACAGACCGCCGTCATATAGCTGTAATATTGCTGAGTGCGGCGTTAAACAACAAACAAACAAACAAATCTGAGTTTCATGACCGCAATCAGTCACTGGGTCTCACCATCTGGTCATATATATGTATAGTCGACGCCCTCGACAATAATGAGGTACTCTTGTTTACCTTTGAAAATAAAAAGTGTACTGGTATTTTATTTGACCTGAATACAGGTGGAATACATACGACTTTTAAAATACATTCTTTCAAATTATAATTTAAGCATTTAAATATCGGATTCTTTGCGTTTTATAATGGTTATTTTTATTACCAACATAATCTGTACAGTTGTTTGAAAAGAAATGCACATCTACTTAGCTAGTTTTTAGAAGAAAAAAAAATAAAATCAGCATAAAACAACCGTACACTGTCTTGAAATGTGTTTTAGTATACAGTTACGAGATTGGTCAATCTATCAAGTCATATAATTATAATCTTCATCCTTATATTCTTTTAATTATTTTTTATATATAACCGGGTAAAACAATTGATGTGCTGGCTGACATACTATCCCTACCCTATATTTCATTAACACCATGTTGTTTACACAGATGGGTCCTGTTAGTATTACTCATTGCCAACTGTGTTATGTAATGCAACTAATAATTGTAAAGATTATAAACATTTGACATCGACGTGGCAGCAATATAATCATACAATACTGTCAGCGAAATACGGCCTGGCACATCCCTCAGGCTTGACGGAAATTGTCGAACGTAATATTCAGCAAAACAGAGTAAGCGTTCGAAGGGAGGTAACTCTTAGTTCGGTTGCCATATAGAAGCAGATGTAATCTGGGAACCAACTGCAAAAGTAGGTTTTCGTTGAAATAATTTCCACATCATTTCATGCAAATTGTGGCGGACGTAACGAGCATATAAAATCTTCGATATAAACATAAGGCCATAATAAATTAAATGTATGACATTTTCATCCCCGACCGCCTCACGGCCAAACTCCCCGCCAAACTCCCCGCCTCAAATAATGTTATCAACCCCAAGTACCTACGGACGAAGAAAATCGCTGCATGTGTTCCCTAATTTCCTTGAAATACACTATACACCTTGTTCTACCAACATCCATGCGAATCACACCCGTCGATAGTTAATATGCACAAAGGGTACACGGGTGGCCCAGAAACCTATGATAGTGGGTTCGAATCCCTGTTCACCCCGATTATGTTTCTAGGTTTGTCAGCACCATACTCCGTGCTCGTGGGTTTCACCGAAGTGGTAAACGTCTGAGACCTGCATCACTTCGGGCTTTCCTCCAACATTAAGCTGACACGCCGCGATATAACTGTAATACTGTTAAAAGCGGCGTTAAACACAACTCACCCACTCACTAATATTGCCAAAATATGATTTATAGAAGCTTAACGCACCATTTCAAAACAAGCTGAACTCAGGCTGAACCAAAGATCTACTCTTCTTTAATACGTGCACAGGAAGAATAATACGAACAGCTAAGAGTTGGATATGCGTCTGGCGAGCGGGCACCAATGTTGACGGCTGGTAATTCTCTAGAGTGAGTGAGTGAGTATGGTTTTACGCCAATTTCAGAAATATCACGACGGAACACTAGAAACAGGCTTAACATATTGTGCCCATGTGGGGAATCGAACGTAGGTTTTTGGCGTTGCAAACGAACGCTTTAACCAATAGCTAGCTCTACGCCCCTTGATTATATAGAGACCCGTGAAGATCCGGGGTAGAATATGTCTTCAGCAACCCATGCTTGTCGTAAAAGGTGACTAACGGGGTCGGGTGATCAGGCTCGCTGACTGACTTGGTATCCCAATTACGTAGATCGATGCTCATGATGTCAATCACTGGATTGTCTGGTCCAGACTCGATTATTTACAGACCGCCGCCAAATAGCAAGAATATTGCTGAGTGCGGCGTTAAACAACAAACCAAACCAAAACCCCTGGTTATATAGAAGCTTCGTTATAACACCTATTTTTTCGGACACCCCATCCAGGATGAACAGGGTGTAATTATAGGTGCGATACTCCGGTACGATACATAGACCTTTATCTCCAGGTTGCTCTACCAGTTGAGGTGAGGTGAAATTGGGTTTAACGTCGCGTCCAAGATTATTGCACTTATATAGCGACGTGCATGTACGTGTGTGTGTGTGTGGCTGCTTGTACTAGTCCGGACTGATGCCGATTTATAGTGCTAGCTCACTGAGATACCATGCCGCAGTTTAACATGAATACCCCACTCAGACACAGTATACTGACTCCGAGCCGACCAGTCCTTGTTTTAGCCCCTTAATGCCGAGCGCCAGACAGGGTAACAACAAGTACAATCTTTTAACGTCTTTTTGTATGACGCGGCCCGGGATCGAACCCTGGACCTTCCGCTCTCCGGGCGGACGCTCTACCACAAGACCACGGAGGCGGTCTCTCTACCAGTTGAAACTGGATGAGTGAGTGTGGCTGAACGCCTCTTTGTACAGAGTTCCTGTTATATCGCAGCGTGTCAGCTTGGAGGAGGAAAAGCCCGAAGTGATGCAGGTCTTAGACGATTACTACTTTGTCGAAACCCACGAACACGGGTGTGGTTCTAACAAACCTAGAAAATCAATTTTTGCGAATCAGATTCGGAACAATTTGCATGGGGTTATGGCACGCCAAAGGGACCCAATTCTGTGTATGCTTGCACGCTTATTGAGGGTTCGCCGGTTCCCGCTGTCACTCGGAAACCAGCGACATTAAAGGGACGCAACTCGTACCACTCGTGTCTCCTGACGGAGCGTATTAGAGGCTAATTAGAATAAACACGTCATTGTTCTTGTCCTATCTGTGAGCAGTAAATATAAACTTGAAAGAGTTTACAACTTTTAGTTTACTAATACTTTTCTAAAAATAATTTCGTTGATATCAACTGGCAAAGTTCAAACAATGCAGTTATCGGCCAACTCATCCCAAACATCTAGAAAACCAAATGTCATTTTACTTATCACCATTTCAAGCAACGACAGCAACAACTAACGTACACAGACTTAGACAACATGACAACACTAGTGATCCCTAAAGAAGACAGTGTCGGTGACATATGGGATGAAATTATCATCGTTACTACTCTGTAACACATATATACACACTTCACTTCATTCAAGACAAATTCAGTATCATTTTACTTCATTAAAATAAACACCAAGACAAAACAGGTCATCATCAAAAGGATTATTCCTTTGAATTCATCCTCAATCAAAGACAGTTTCCAGAATGCAGACAATTAAGGCTTACTCTACTTGACATAGGAATCGGTAATAACTAAGGTCTTTAGATATTTCAGTTTTGCAAGTATGGCATTAAGAAATACCAGACGTGGTCTAGCACAGGTGCAGTGTGGGTTATTTCCTTTCACAATGCTATTCCCGTTAAACAATCACAGACGTGTGTGCTTTGCAATAACTTCAACAATCCTTCTGATTTGAATACATTACTATAAATAAATGCAATTCTACACAGTGAGATGTTGCAACATTCCTGGCGTCAGTACAAACACATTAGCACCACAATGTTTTCAATAATATTTATTTCGCAATAAATCTATTACTGTTGGAAAACGTATCGGAGTACAAACACTAATTAATGGTCTTAGATTTAATAACATTTCCACTAAAAACAAGTTTCGTATTTAAATTGGGCTATTAACTGAGCAATCTAATAGAAAGAAATTGAATTTATGAAGCTACATCAAAACAACATGGCCTTCAAGATAAGATATCACGAACTCAACGAACTTGTTAATTGCACTCCCAGGTATAACTTTCAAGTTGTCTCGAATTCATTAAAATTAAATAGGCCGGGGATGACCAGAGATCGTTAAAACACATCACATCGAATGCTAGTAGTAGACTAGTAGTAGTCATATAAGGGGCTCACCTTGGACTCCAAATGGCCCTTGGCAGTCAAACTGGGAAAAAGTCATAATTCTATTGATAATTGTTGTTTGTTTTTGGGGTGTTTTTTTTAAAGTTCTTATTTTCTTACATTAGTAGGTATTTTAACATTGCTTTGAATGCAATAGTGTAAATGCGCATTAGTGCCTTTGTAGTCCCCTGCATTGGCCCTATTTAGTGCAATTTTGTATAATTCTACTACTTACTGTGTACGTAAAGTATTCAAACATTTCTCCAAAACAACTTTCGACTAAATATCAAATGAAAAATGTAGGATAAACCACACATTGTGTGATTTCGGAGGAGTGGAATTAACACGTTCATGACGGTCTTACCAAATATTCTCCGATTGGGGTTTTATAAGAACAGTACAACACCATGACCAACGTACAATCCCTCGATCTTTTGGACTTGCTTCATTATAGATACACCCGAACAAAAACGATCTTCTACATATAATGTCCGAGGAATGATGGTGATGTTATACGCCGATTGGCGTCAAGCGAGAATGCAGCGTTGTGGAAAAGGAATGGAGAATTCTATGATTTGGAGATTCGCATGTAAATGTATAGTGAGTGAGTGAGTTGGGTTTAACGCCGCTTTTAACAGTATTCCAGTTATATCGCGGCGTGTCAGCTTAATGTGGGAGGAAAGCCCGAAGTGATGCAGGTCTCAGACGTTTACCACTTCGGTGAAACCCAGAGAGCACGGGTATGGTGCTGACAAACCTAGAAACATAATCGGGGCGAACAGAGATTCGAACCCACAATCATAGGTTTCTGGGCCACCCGTGTCCCCTTTGTGCATATTAACTATCGACGGGTGTGATTCGCATGGATGTTTGGTGAATTGATATAAATGTCTAATTCACTTTCAAAGGGGGAGAGTCGCATCTGTGTACACAGACAATAACCACCCCTCTAGTGTGGGGTGCGCGAATGAACCCTTGTTATACCCGGCCCGTGTTCAATACTTACTTCTTGTGGTCGTGGGTCGACATGGCGAGTTGCACGTTGTTCCACACCCGTGGGTCGGGAGAATTCCGTGCTGTTCATTTAGAACCACGGACAGGCGCCGACTGTATTCCTTCACCCCTGGAGATTCGACCCCACCCTGCAAAGTCTTCCCATTGGGGCTACGAGCAAAAAGCTGCATGTGCGCGCTCTCCACATTGAGCTCTGGTCGATAGGGGATGAACCGGTCCATAAAGTTCCCTTGCTCATGAGAGCTGTTTCGAATAGATCCTTTGCCAAACCAGTTTTCACAACGATCCATTATTGATAAAGTTTCAGTGTTAGTTGATGTCGTTGATTAACAGTCTGAGCACTTGTTTTACGTGTGTTTAACCAACCCAGAGGTCAGGACCGGCCATGGTAGAGTTTCTGTACAATTAACGAACAATAACACACTACCTGTTACAAGCACAGCGCGTGCCACACCAAATGCACGTGCTTCTTTCATTGGCGGTTGAATTGGTGCATACAAAAGACCTTCTTCTAACTGGTGAAATGTATACATGTTTGACCAAATTTATCCAAAATGATTAAAAGGTTTCTGAATGTGTTATCATGTCAAACGTGGCAAAAGATGAAAAAAATATGATAGCTGTATAATTCTTTAACGCTTAAAGACAACTTTCGTGATGATTGCTATAGGTACTGCCCATATAAAAAGGTTCTAATAAGGTTAAATATATGATGTATGTATAAACTTGTAAAACAAGATTTCATTAGACTTCTGCCCGTATCCCCCTCCAAAATAAATACATGTATATGATTGTCGCTCAATCCGTTTAATTATATATATATATATATATATATATATATATATATATATATATATATATATATATATATTAGGGGGTACGAGAGGAAGTCTTACCCAAGATTTAAATGTTTGTGCCCGAAATGGGAATAATCTTTGAATTCAGGAAAGTTATGTTGTTTTGTTTTATTTTGTTTGTTTGTTGTTTAACGCCGCACTCAGCAATATTCCAGCTATATGACGGCGGTCTGTAAATAATCGAGTCTGGGCCAGACAATCCAGTGATTGATATCATGAGCATCGATCCACGCAATTGGGATACGATGTCATGCATCAACCAAGTCAGCGAGCCTGACCACCCGATCCCGTTAGGCGCCTCTTACGACAAGCATAGTCGCCTTTTATGGCAATCATGGGTTACTGAAGACCTATTCTACCCCGGATCTTCACGGGTCGGAAAGTTATGTTTTTATTTATTAGAGAAAGCGATAACCAGACATGAGCTCATCAACCAAACACAGCAAGGGGCAAGTTCATATTATTGACAACTTGGAATGATTTTCTTCTGGGGAAAGCTCAGGTCTGCGACATTAATTCGTATTAGTCTGTCAAATCTATTTTGACAGTCAAACGTGTTGTCAGTAGCAACAAGAATTTTACGTTGGCTGCTTTTGAACTAATTGGTGGAGAACAGAACCGATATATATTTTATTACAAGAGTCAGATTTCTTATGTAGATCTTGCTGAAAAAGTTGACGTTTTAAATGAAACTGTAGTTGCTTTGACATTTCACGTTAATACGTTTCTGTACAAGAGTTCTTTGGTCAGAATATTCAGTTAGCGCCACAACGTACATTGAGTGAGTGAGTATGGTTTTACGCCGCTTTTAGTAATATTCCAGCAATATCGCGAGCCGTGAAGATCCGGGGTAGAATAGGTCTTCAGCAACCTATGCTTGCCGTAAAAGGAGACTATGCTTGTCGTAAAAGGCGACTAACGGGATCGGGTGTTAAGGCTCGCGGACTTGGTTGATGCATGTCATCGTATCTCAATTGCGTTGATAGATGCTCAGGATATCAGTCACTGGATTGTCTCTTCCAGACTCGATTATTTTACAGACCGCCGTCATATAGCTGGAATACTGCTGAGTGCGGCGTTAAACAACAAAGAAACAAAAACAAAATCATCAACTCATAATAGACCCCAATCATTCATAATCCTTTTTTATACTACTGGCCTGTTAATATGTTTATACTTCGCCTGTCACGCCGAAGACCCGGGTTCGATTCCCGACATGGGTACAATGTGTGAAGCCCATTTCTGGTGTCCCCCGCCGTGATATTGCTGGAATATTGCTAAAAGCGGCGTGAAACCATACTCACTCACTCACTCATATGTTTATCTTATTGCAACTGCTTTAAGTACATACAGGCTTCTCCACTCCAGTGCAACTACATCCTAATCTACTCAACTGTATAAACACTGCCTCATACCTGTATATATGCTTATCAACCAAACCATGTACATCACTTGCTTGATAACGGTGTTAGAACCTACACCGAAACGTCGCTCCTGATTGTAATAAAGGAGTTGTTCATCCATACATCTTATCCCTACTTACTTACTGAAGTTGATTGGTCACGATTCAATCGCGAGTGCGCCATCCAAGTTATACAGGCTGTCTGTGTGGGAGTGACGGGCCAAGACGAATGTCAAGATGACCTCTCCCCTGTCGAGGTGGTTGACCGGTGGTCCAAGCTGACCTTCCCAGCAATCAGTCAAATACCCTGTCATACAACTCTCGCGAGATGCGAAAACCGTCGCCTGCTGCTAATCCCTCGCCCACGTTGTCAACGTCGATGTCGTGGCACATGGCCCAAAGAAGCCGCGCTGCAAGGGGACAACAGTCAGTTTCTTATCCCCCATCACTTCTGACTACAACTTTGAAAGACTAATTGGATTATATGTAACTTTCTGTTGAAGTTGAATTGGTTTTGTGTCTATATATCGATAAAGAGGATCAGCGTTTCAATTTAAATTTCCCCAGTAAAGTTGTATTTTTGATAATCGTGTAGAGCGGTAAAACATGAGCGACATTGTCTAGGTGTGGGTGCCACGAAGACACAGCTGGGGATCACGGCACTGCAAGCGCATTGGGAATTTTTTTTATTTTTAGAGTCAAGAAGGATATTGTGTAATATAAGATTTCAGAGACTAAATGTTAGTCTAGCGGTGCCGCTCTGTCTGTGGATATCATCTGCGTACCTCCTTGATCCCTAAACACAACACGCTTGGGGGCTCGATTCCATAACCATATTATATAATAGTGATTATTTTAGTGTGAATGGGTGACAGTGGTTTCATTCCGCATTAAGCAAAATGCCTTACATATCACCAACATAAACACCAAGTACATTGTGACATGTAATGAACTGAACGCCCAGATGATTTAAGTTATACAATAATAAAGATGTAACAGAACGTGTACACAACCATCAAGTATACAAATGTACCCGTGTTGACGTGGTCGACGATGCCGTGTGTACATAGAGATGCAGTCACTCATATTAGCGCGGGTCACCTAGAAATACCATCGGCGACTTAGTAAGTGCGCAACATTGTTAAGGAATATTATGATTCAAGCAGCAGCTACACATGTTTTTGTCCTGAAAATAAACCCGTGTGGACGAAACAAACCAGTTGATCAAAACACGAGTTCCAACCCACGTGGCCAGGTACACTCAGTCAGTCCGATCACGTATCTAGTTGACATGTAAGTCAAACGGGAATCCTGCCCCTAGAATCGCCGAAAAAAGATGCAGCTTGGATACTTTGGACCTATTCTGGTCCGGAATCCCCAAAATATATAGGGGAAGTAATCTGTCCCATGTGTGAACTGTCAGGAGCCATGTGTTAACTGTCATAATCCATGTGTGAACTGTCTGGTCCAATATGTGAACTGTCAGGGGCCATGTGTGAACTGTCACAATCCATGCGTGAACTGTCTGGTCCAATATGTGAACTGTCAGGGGCCATGTGTGAACAGTCAGGCGCCATGTGTGAACTGTAAGAATCCATGTGTGAACAGTCAGGCGCCATGTGTGAACTGTCACAATCCATGTGTGAACTGTAAGAATCCATGTGTGAACTGTCAGGGGCCATGTGTGAACAGTCAGGCGCCATGTGTGAACTGTAAGAATCCATGTGTTAACTGTCAGAATCCATGTGTGAACTGTCAGAATCCATGTGTGAACTGTCAGGAGCCACGTGTGAACTGTCAGAATCCATGTGTGAACTGTCAGGCGCCATGTGTGAACTGTCAGAATCCATGTCTGAACTGTCAGAATCCATGTGTGAACAGTCTGGTCCAATGTGTGAACTGTCAGAATCCGTGTGTGAACTGTCAGGCGCCATGTGTGAACTGTCAGAATCCGTGTGTAAACTGTCAGAAGCCATGTGTGAACTGTCTGGTCCAATGTGTGAACTGTCAGAATCCGTGTGTGAACTGTCAGGCGCCATGTGTGAACTGTCAGAACCCATGTGTAAACTGTCAGAATCCATGTGTGAACTGTCTGGTCCAATGTGTGAACTATCAGAATCCATGCGCCAAATGTCAGGAGCCATGTGTGAACTGTCAGAACCCATGTGTAAACTGTCAGAATCCGTGTGTGAACTGTCAGGCGCCATGTGTGAACTGTCAGAACCCATGTGTAAACTGTCAGAATCCATGTGTGAACTGTCTGGTCCAATGTGTGAACTATCAGAATCCATGCGCTAAATGTCAGGAGCCATGTGTGAACTGTCAGAAGCCATGTGTGAACTGTCAGAACCCATGCGTGAACTGTCAGGCGCCATGTGTGAACTGTCAGGCGCCATGTGTGAACTGTCAGAAGCCATGTGTGAACTGTCAGAACCCATGTGTAAACTGTCAGGCGCCATGTGTGAACTGTCAGGCGCCATGTGTGAACTGTCAGGCGCCATGTGTGAACTGTCAGGCGCCATGTGTGAACTGTCAGGCGCCATGTGTGACCTGTCAGGCGCCATGTGTGAACTGTCAGGCGCCATGTGTGAACTGTCAGGCGCCATGTGTGAACTGTCAGAATCCATGCGTGAACTGACTGGTCCCATGTGTGAACTGTCAGGGGCCATGTGTAAACTGTCAGAATCCGTGTGTGAACTGTCAGGCGCCATGTGTAAACTGTCAGAATCCGTGTGTAAACTGTCAGGATCCATGTGTGAACTGTCAGAATCCATGCGTGAACTGACTGGTCCCATGTGTGAACTGTCAGGGGCCATGTGTGACCTGTCAGAATCCATTTCTGAACTGTCAGAATCCATGTGTGAACTGTCAGGCGCCATGTGTGAACTGTCAGAATCCATGTGTGAACTGTCAGGGGCCATGTGTGAACAGTCAGGCGCCATGTGTGAACTGTAAGAATTCATGTGTTAACTGTCAGAATCCATGTGTGAACTGTCAGAATCCATGTGTGAACTGTCAGAATCCATGTGTGAACTGTCAGGAGCCACGTGCTGACTGTCTGGTCCAATGTGTGAACTATCAGAATCCATGCGCTAAATGTCAGGAGCCATGTGTGAACTGTCAGAATCCATGCGTGAACTGACTGGTCCCATGTGTGAACAGTCAGGCGCCATGTGTGAACTGTAAGAATCCATGTGTTAACTGTCAGAATCCA